AAGGAGTCTCTGTTCAAGTGGACATTATATGCCACTGGGTTGATGGGATGTTCCAACTAGGCCTACCAGCAAAGCCTGGGAGATTGGCTCTGTCACTCTGTGCATGATGGATGGAAAGCAGGAAATAGCCTTCGGAAAGAAAGGGCACTCCAGGGAGATTGAGAGAAGATTGAGACAAAGGAGAAATCCAGGAGTAGAGATGTTTTAAACCCTCTCCTGACACCTCTGAGGTAATTGGACAGGTATTTCGGATGTTGAAGGCCAGGTAGATGCAGTGCCATTTGTGCAACCATTTTTCCATGGTTATTGGAAAAGGTAAATGGTTTGACCTTTTGAAAAGCAGTCAGATTTCCTCAATTGCTTTTGGGAACAACTCACTACTGTTGAAGGAGTTAAAGAAGTGTTTTAGACCCCAAAACAGGCTGATACTGTGTGAATATTGCGAACAACCTTTTAGCACTCTGGAAGGAAAGTCTTGCTCCACCATTCTCCAGTCAGCTCTGTCTTCAGCCCGGATTGGTTGGATTTTTTTTTCCCTCTGCAAAAATCAATGCTACAATGCCTAATGGCCAGGGTAAAAATGGCTGAAAAGACTTTAAAAAGTCTCTGCTGTGCAATTGGACGCTAAATCAATAGAGCACTATAATCACTAGAACACTTCTCATTCCTGTAGGTGAGATTCTGCTAATGTGAAGAACCTTGTTTATTCTTGCATGTCGTTTATTCATCCAGGTCATTTGCTTACCAACAGAAATGCGAACGTGGATATCCAAAGACAAATGTGTTGAAATACCTTAGAGACTAACTGTTAGCCTAGGTTAGCATGTCATTGGGAAAATGATGGTTTGACATTGATGTATTTTGGCTGTTTGGCATCAGCAAGTCGAGCATCCACTTTTAGGTGTGCAAAGATCAAAGTCTATCTCTAACAAATTGAGCTTCACTGGTCACTAATGCCAAGGTTTTTTTCTGCCATTTTGGTCATTAATTTTCATGATATAAAGGCACAAGAGAATGCCTTATGCCTTATGATTATACTTTAAATGTAAGCTAGTCCATATTTTAGCCCATAGCTATATTTGTCCATTTGAAGGCCAGGCACATGAAATGTTCCTCCGAAGGCTATAGAGTTAAAAGTTTATTGAAAAAGATTGAGATGTTATTTTTTCAATTTCAAGCACTTCTCTTTGCTTTATTTAGTATGACCCTTTTGCTGTGTGTGGATCAAACTTCACTCCTATATTCTAAGTCTTGATTCACAATCAATGAAGGGAGCATTTTGGAATTATGTTGCCATGGAAACTAGTACATAAGCCCCTCTCTAGGTAATATAAGGCCTGTTTTTTGTGGGTTTGGGGACTGTTTGACTGACCCTACCTTTTTTCTTCTTTTCCGAAGGGGTCCGTAATGCTGTTAAATTGAAACGGGCACCTGAAGCGCTGGAAGAAGGGATGCCACTCTCGAATATACTCTCTTTTCAAATATACAATATAGTTTGGTTTAGGTTTCACAAGTTTCAAACTTTCCACTCTAATAGTTATATATATATTTCGTTTTTAGTTTGAATTGTTTGTATTCTAGGGCTGCCAAATTTTATTTTATTTTAGACAGTTTAGTTTCAGTCAGTTTTCAGTCTAATTTTTATATAATTTAGTTTTCATTTTAACTTTCTCACCATAGTTAGGCGCTGTCCCTGATCCCCGATGTGATGGAGAAGGGTCTCTGTTGAGGTGGTGGGTTGATGTCTATTGATCTGTCTCATTCAATATGAACCAGAGACTGCAGACAGAATGAGAAATACACTAATAGCAACCATTCGTCCCCATGGACCAGGGCATTAAACACACTCTCCAAACATGTCTCTCATCCTCCGCCTCGCAGGAAGAAAATAAAATACAAGCTCTCCGCTGTTCATTTTTCTCTCGCCTTGCTTTCTCTCTCTCTTTATTCCCATGATGGTGCTGCTCTTTCTGTCTAAAGGTATCATATATAAAAGCTATTGATTATCTAGAGCCAAGGGGACACCAATCACACCAATGTAAATATTTGATAAGGGAGCCATTTTAGATCTCTGAGATGTTTGACTTTTCTCTGTCTTCTGCTCATGAGCAAAGGTATTCTTAATGTTTTGCTATACATTGATTATTTTCTTCGCTCATCAATAATTTGTCTTTAACATTTTGTAGCCTAATGTTGCTTAGCATGGCACCAAACCAGCATTTAACCATCATGGGTTCACTTATGTTGAGATTTCATCTTGGTAGACACCTTGCTGGAGGATTTTGCTTGCTCCACTCAGGGGCAAATTGCATCTCCTGGATCTCTCGTTCACAGCATTTCCATATCCTCTATTGTCCTTTTTTGGGGGTTAGCAGGCGTGCTGCCAATGCGCTAGCTATGAGACACTAGACCAGTTGGGTTCCCCAAAAGACAAGTTTTCCCAACGGCTTTCTGGTTTGGCATTGAGCACCGAGAGGTTGCAAAACCACAATACAACCGCTGTTTCATTTCAGGCCTCTTTCCGACTTTACACCTCTTACCTCACACCGACCGCCAGAGGTTACAGGTTCAACAATTGCTCCTTCTGTAGGTCTTAGCTAAATACGCTGGAATCATGGAGTGTTTTTACATGCAGTAGAACTTCACCTAATAACCCTGAAAACTGTACGTTTTAGCTCAGAATTATCTAGGTCAGTGAATACTCCCGGATTTGTGCCAGAATTCAGTAAGCCTGTTAGCATAAAGCTTTAGTTAGTACAGCAGTGTAACCATTTGGGAAAATGGTTTTATTGTGTGCATTTCCACATCTGTGTATCTTCTCCTTTTGTATTATGTACAGCAGAAAAAAATTATGGAATTATGCAACGCTCTGAGCTCTGGCATTAAAAAAAAACAAACAATGACGGCTTTTAATGTATCTGTGGTCATGTGGATTATGACATCTCTGTAAATAAAAGGAGAACATGGTTAGATAACAAAACACACTCAGTGTGACACTGATAAAGAAAGGATTTAGTAATTTCACACTATGGAAGAATGAAATAAAAAAAGCGACGTTTTCCTGTTAAGAGCAGTATTCTGCTGGTCTCGACTGCCCCTCGGCAGAATGAAGTAAAAGCATTTAAAGCAAATTCGTGTTCCTTTAATCTCTCGGAAAGATCTCACGCTGAGAGGGTCTTATCTTTACTGAAGCATTACACTGTGTGTGTGTGTGTGGTGGTGTTAGTGGTGTTAGATTGAGATCAAGGTGGATAAATCTTTGTCTTCTTTGTCATTGTAGAAAGCCTACATGTGGTATAATGCTTTGTAGTTTAAAAAAAAAATAGGCTTGGAAATATTAAATACCAAGAAAAAATATACTGGTCAGAAAGAAAACAGCATTTTGCATGGTTTACAGTATATCATATCAAATGCTATTTTTTTTACCCATTTGACCTTTTAAGCTTCATAACAATGCAGTAAACCACAGTTGATTGGTTGGCAGGGAACTGAAAGATGGTGATTCATTAATTAAGAGGGACAGCTGTCTTATTGATCATGATACATATCCGGCTATTAACTAAAATTTAATGTGGTGGTAAATCAGAGCGTCTGTTAATGGATTGAGGAGGTTGATGTGCTTGAGTGTAAATTATGAACTCTGCATTGTGCAATGTAATGCGTATTCTACTCATAATGCTTATTAATGGGAATATTTTGGCTTGTGCATTGCAATACTGAGCCCTACACACATCATATTGTTAATGAAATATTATTAGGGTGAATTTAGGTAAAGTGGAACAACTTTTTCTAATGAGATGACTGAAAAAATGTCCCAATTATCCCTAATTGACAATATAGTACTGCTTAATCGCAATATATAAAATTCAACACCATATAATAGGATTAAACCATTACAATATAATGTTTTTATGCCTCTTTTATTGATATTATGGATATGGTATCCTAAGGAAATGGAAGCAGGGAATATATACCACATTTACTGGCTCTGATGCAGGTGTAAATCCTTGAATAGTTTATAAAAAAATAGAGAAAAATAATTTAATCTATTTTTCTTTTATTTTACATATAGGAATTACAGCATGACTTCTGTAATGAAATTTCCTTGGAGCCCAAGCCATTCCTCAGTGTTTGACTTATTAATTACAGCACAGGTTGAGTCACTTAGCATGGTTAAATTTACAAGCAACGCTTCTCAAAACTGCATCCGCCTTTAACGGCTTTTCAAAGCAGCCGTCACTCTACACTCCATTAGCACAGTCCAAAGTTCAGTATTAGTCACTCTGAAAAGTGAATTATGTTGGAGGCATTGTGCTGTGGCTGATAAGAACTGACATGTTTGGGATGTGTTTGCAGAAATATAGGGTTTGCTTTTAGTTCTAGGGGCAACATGGGAGTCTGGCACAGCATCCCTGAGGGGAAGTGCTTTGATGCGCGCATACACACACACGACCGCCACGTGCCTCCAGTCAGGCTAATGCTGCAGTGGGACGTTAGATATGCCTCAATGAAGAAGGTGATGAGAGCTGAGAGGAAATCTCCATCATAACCTCACAAAACTCTTCTCTTCACATTGCTTCTTCAATAGTACTCAAATATAAGGTTTCATGCTCTAAAATTTCAACATGTAATTTTACTTGAATTTTTTTTTAAATCCTCTCTTGTACCCTTAGAATACATCATTTTTGTCTGTTTCTGCCACTGTGCCTTTAAGAATTTTTTAAAGAATTCTAAATGTGAATGACGGATAGATAGATAGATAGATAGATAGATAGATAGATAGATAGATAGATAGATAAACTGATTCTCTCTCGTTTTAGCTACTAAATTGTTGCCACGTTGAACTGATTCGTTTCCTTGGTTTTGTTGAACTATATACTGTATAATGAGAACTCATATCAACATTTCTCTTATAACTGAAGTAATTTATTATAATAATATTAATCTTTCTGAAAATAAATAAAATACCTTTTTTTTATCTTTTTTTTCTTCTTCAATAGCATGTCGGTCAGGCTTTTACAAGGCCTCGGCCATGGATGCGTACTGTGTGAAGTGTCCTCCACACAGCTACTCCCACCAGGACAAAGCCTCCGAGTGCGTGTGTGAGAGAGGCTTCTATAGAGCGGAATCTGACCCTCGCTCCATGGCGTGCACAAGTAAGCTGAGGATCTTTCTGAATGTTAACTAAAATCAATCAATGTTATTTAGATAACTGTGCAGTTAATGTGTTTTTCTTGTTTCATCAGGACCCCCCTCGGCACCCGGCAACCCTATTTCAATGGTGAACGAGACTGCAGTCACTCTAGAATGGAGTCCTCCTCGGGACAGTGGTGGACGTGGAGATGTTACCTATAGTGTCCACTGCAGGAAGTGTTCGGGAGATACAGGGGCTGCAGGGGACAGTGAGAAGTGTGTTCCCTGCGGCAGTGGTCCACATTTCAACCCCAGGCAGTTTGGCTTGACGCACCCCAGGGTTCTGGCCACAGAACTACAGCCTCACACCAATTATACCTTCAGCATAGAAGCCCTGAACGGAGTGTCAGATCTCAGCCCCAGTCCACGTCAACTAGTGTCCGTCAATGTAACCACCAGTCAGACAGGTGAGATGTGTTCTTCAATAAAGGGTTTTCTTTGTGTTATGTGTTATATGTTTGTTAGAGAATAAGAGTCCTTAGAAGCCTCTGAATGAGGGCTTTTCAAAACTGGTGTCCAGGAACCCTAATGCAGGTTTTTTGTTTTGTTTTTGGAAATAAGATTAATGGCAAATACTTTATTCTGTTGACTGTTGAGTTTTAACATTATGTCATAGAAAGAAAACAAATCTTCATATAGTTTTGTATTTTTTATTTTATATCATATTTAGTGCTGTCAAATTGATTGATCTAATACAGATGTGGATATATACTGTATATAAAGTATATATAATTATTGTTATATAATTATATCATAATTATTAATGAATATAGATAGTTAATGAATTATTGATCAATAATATAATGTAATATAAAATATAAATGTGATAATTTATGAATGTATAAAATAATATTTTCATGGATAAATATCATAGAAAATGGAATAAATTGAATAAATGGAATAATATATAATATAAATGCTGTTATATAATATCACACTTAATATTTTTCATATACAGTATAATTGAGTCCTTAATACATTAAAAGCTATCTTTATGTTTTATGAAGGGATTCGTTGCAAGGAAATAGTTATATTTGGGGGGACCTTTGCTAAATTTGAAACCGTTGCTCTAAATGTAATGAATACATAATTTTTTTTTAGCCTTTTAAATTGATTCATACAAAAAATATGCTGTGATGTAAATCGTCTGTCAGACAAGTCAGGGATTGTAGTCCTTCAACAGCTTTAATCGTCCTCAGTTACTCATTTTTCTTAAATCTCTGCAGCTTTAGTCACAATTTTTCTCTTGCTTCTTGCTTTTGAATTTTACACTGGCATGCTGTGTTTCAATGGGTCCTTCTATATCTCGCCTGACCTTTAAACCCGCACTCTGTGTGCGGCTCGAAGCCCGTCATTGGTCGAGAGGAGAGATGAGCTCTCCTGATCCTGTGGTTAAGCATGATTCAGCCCCTTAGAGAACAAGAGCGAGAGATAGATAGGCAGGAGCGAGAGCCAGCGTAATGAGAAGCCTGAGAGGAGAGTCACCCTGGATGCCCAGATCAACAGCCCTTCGCTCTTATGAGAGATGACATGCCTGTAACCGTGGAAACGCCACTGTGGGAGGGGACGTATTGAGGTATACGTAACTGTGATTGGTTTATATTTCGAGTACTTGCCCTCTGGTCCACACCGCTTGAAATATTCAAGAGACAATCCGCCGTGCGTCGAGAGGAGGCTTCTGGGAGGATGTAGTGCCTGTATTTGCATGTTTTGCATGATGCGGATATCGACTGATGTTTCAGGGCATATCTTTCATCGGCAGGTGTGCGAGTGATGGCAAACAGAATATTTATAAATGCAAATTGTAAGGCAACGTAAAATGACGAAAACATCAAACAAAGCTGACAGATTTATGACATCATAAGAACTGTGTTGTTATGCTACACATATGAATGTATAATGCAGAAAGTAGTTATGTTAATCTCCTCTATTGAAAATTGCCCCTTTTGTTTACTTAATAAAATTCAAAAGTTTGTAGGTTTTTGAATGAATACTTTTATTCAGCAAGAACACATTAAATTGGTCTACCGTAACAGTAAAGACATAATATAATGTTACCATAAAATCTATTTTAAATAAATGCTGTTCTTTTGAACTTTTTATTCATCAAATAACCCTTAAAATGCATCATAGTTTCCTCAAAAATATTCAGCAGCACAAATATTTCCACATTGATAATAATGAGAAAAATGTATTGATTACCTTATAGCTTTTCATACCTTGTATGAGTGCCATGTTTTGTAAAAGACTTTTTAAGACCTATTCACTTTTCATTCGAGTGAATATAAATCGGTGATATTTCCAGACGTCTTTCTTTTCACTTACTCTGAACTGAAGCACATCTGTTCTTTTATCTGTGAACCAAACACATGCTGAGATATGAGCGTAGCTGTTTGTTTATCAGCTTAGGAGTGTTTGCGTGTGTACGGCAGTTAGCGGTGTCACTGTGTCAGCGCTGCGTGGCAGATCAGAACAGTGTACGCAGAGTTAAGACTCGCACAGCTCATTAAAGATCGAAACGTCAGCTCCTTCATTCATCACTGGCTGCCGGGGCCCAAAACGGGAGGCCCTCGTTTGTACTCCCGATCTGACACCATCATTAGCACCTCTGTCTCTCTCTGCTCAGGGCGGCTCGCGAACGCTGCTGTTGTGTGAATAGACGGGGCTGAGGTGCTCTGGCTGCGTGCCAGCTATGTAGTACGGGTGAAAATGACTCACTACACACGCAGAATAATTTATCGCTCCCGAAAAAGACAAGAAGCGCTCCGCCAGCCCTCTCATACTCTTTAATTAGAAGTGTAATTAATCCTCCTCTTTTACATGGAAATCAATCTCAATTTATCTCTCTCTTTCTTTTTCAGTGAGCGTCATCTTAAAGGAAAGGAAGGGCACTGACAGTGTAACGCTGGCATGGCAGGGTCCAGAACCTGCCGACGGGACCGTGGTGGAATATGAAGTCACCTATTATGAAAAGGTTAGAGGCTTTGCTCTTTCTTCAACACACTCTAATCTCCATGACCTTTTGGCCCTATGTGAGTTCTCCTTGCACTGGTTAGACATATGGCAGCTCACTTTTATCATACCCAGGGGAGAGGCTGTAATGTTAACACAGACATGCTTCATTCGGTCCCAATTAACATTCATAGATGTCCCCCCTGCCAAAAACCTTCAAGGTTGTCACATTTTAGAGTTGATGGCATTATTTTCCTGAACAAATCACCTAGGCTATGTTCAGACTGGCAGACATTTATTTATTTACAGCATCCAATTCAAATCTGTTTACACAGCTAAGAAGCACATGAAATCTTAGTAATTTACAAATCCATGTGTGATTATGTTTGAAATCGAATTAAAACATCCATGTGGTTTGAAATATGATTAAAAACATGGTGAAATCTGTCATTTGATATGTGAATATTATGTAATGGCATAAAGTGTATATGTGGCTTTTTTTCCACTGGCAGCTACTAATTTAATGGTCAATAACAAATAAATAAATAATTTATATATTTAATTCTAAGCGGACATTAGATAAGCAAATATATATGTAAGAATATATACTGTATATACTAGATCATTTTTGGTATGTTATATAGTAATCTATTTATATAAATTAAATATTTTTAATAGGTCATTACTTTAAATATGCAGATGATACAGCCATTCTTGCTCTGCTTAATAAGGACAATGAACGTTCTATAGCTCATTTTAGTATGTGGTGTGAGGATAACTTTCTACATCTCAATATTTCAAAGACTAAGGAACTGGGACTTTAGCTCCCCAAAAACACAGATCCATGTTTCTAGCATTACCATTAATGGAAAGATAGTTGAAATGGTGGAGTAACGCAGTATTATTGAGCCAGTCTTTATTTATGGTGCCATTTGTTTTTGTTTTCATATGCCAACAGTTACCAACAAGATCAAATTCTTCGAGATAACTTATTTAGCAAGTACCATTATTGGTATCCCCTTCCCCTAATTTATTGGATAGTGTCCCTACATTCATGTTTCGAAAGCCACAAAAAAATCGTAAATGATCCAGACCACCCACTCTATAAATATTATATCCACCTGCCTTCTGACTGATATGTAGAAAGGCCAGGTATAGTATCTATATGAGCTCTAAATACATAGAAAATGGGCCATTGATATCACCCATGCAGACATTGTTTTTGAGGGTCTTATATGACGATAATTTAACATGTTATATGTGTGTTTGGGTTATGTATGCATCTACGGTGGAAACAAATTTCCTTTCGACGACAAATAAAATCTATATTTATTTCAAATACACATTTTTATTAAAATACTATTGTGTATAATTAATTCAGAAATAAATCTAAAATCATGAATCAATTATTTTGAATGCCAAAAAGGTACATTTAGGCATCACAATATTATAATGTACCTTATAAAAATTACATTTTCAGATTTGCTAAAGATTACATTTATTTTAAATATAGCAGAAATGAGCACACACAAAATCTCTTTATTATTGGCCAATGACTGATGTGGTACAGATGTGTCGTGCATCTCTAGTGTGCACTGCTTTCTACAGTAACATTTCTATACACAGGGTAAGTGATTTGGCACAGTCAGTTGTTTAGATCCCTCGGTGACACCCTCCTGTACTGCAGTATTTGGCTCTGTGGCATGAAGACAGGGTGATGGGTAATTATTATGATTTATTCAGGTGATTATGGGCTATGTGGCTTTTAGATGGCGCGCACAGATGGACAGGCTTGCCTGCCGCTGTGTCCGCGATCCGTTTGATGCCGCCTGTTTGGCCCATCTTAGATTTAATAGCACCACAGGAAATATGGCAGTCCCTCTCTCGCAGGGTGTGGCGTTCCTGTCTGGAACGTTAGATTTCCCTAAGCGAGACGCCATGTGCCACTTTAGTGAAAGGCTTACATCAAGGAAGATGAATGGATATCGATAAGCTGTGAAATATTAACATGAGCACACTGTATGGAATTCTCCTTAGGATTGGACAATGAGAATTGGACAATGAGGCGTCAGTAGGATTGATGTCATTTGTCTGGATAAATTCCAGTTACTGGAAACCGAAAAGCTGTTAGGCCCTTAAAAAAACTGCAGAAATCTGCAGTTTCTTTTCAGTTCAATCCATCTACGTGAAAAGCATTGTGTTCGTTGTTGGCAGGAGGTGCTTGAATGAGCACTAAATTCCATCTGAGCTAATTGCTAATTGGCAATTGACTGATTTGAATCCAATCTGCATGCTTTGTTCTCTTGTTCTTCGTTTGTTTCCGTCGATCCATTATGGATGATTCGACAAAGTTCACGCAGCCTCCTGGGGTTTGGGATTCAGGTATCGGCGTGATGGATCGAGACATCCGTCTTCATAGAATGCTGCCTTGTTCATTTATCCTTCCATTCTTTCCCTCTATAGAACCAGCATGATCAGAACTACACTGTCCTGAAGACCAAATCCAACAGCATGACGGTGGACGGACTCAAGCCGGGAACCACATACATCTTCCGAGTTCGAGCCCGTACGGATGGTGGCTATGGGAACTACAGGGGAGAGATTGAGTTGGAGACGAGCCATGAAGGTGAGTGGACAAGGATCTTAAAGGGACAGTTCACCCAAAAATGAAAATTCTGTCAGTATTTACTCAACCTCATGTTGTTCCAACCCCGTAAGACCTTCATTCATCTTCGGAACACAAATTAAGATATTTTTGATGAAATAGTCCATAGGCTTCTTGAGGAATTGAAACTTGCCGGCCTCGAAAAGTTATTAAAGACATTGTTAAAATAGTCCAAGTGACTACAGTGGCTCAATCTTAAAGGGTTAGTTCACCCAAAAATGAAAATTCTGTCAGTATTTACTCACCCTCATGTTGTTCCAACCCAAGACCCAAGAATCCAAGACCTTCGTTCATCTTCGGAACACAAATTAAGATATTTAAGATATTAAGATCGCTCCTGCATACTAGTCCATAGGCTTCTTGAGGGAATGACTCTTGCTGGCATCGAAAAGTTATTAAAGACAACGTTAAAATAGTCCAAGTGACTACAGTGGCTCAATTTTAACTTTATCAAACGACGAGAATACTTTTTGTGCGCAAAAACAAACAAAAATAATGACTTTATTTCAACAATTCACTTCCTTCTCCATGGGCCTGTAGTCAGTTAACGTAGTTTGATTGCGTAAAGCTACGTCACACGTAGGCTCACTATTGGCCGACGCTGGTCATGTGTGTGATGCGTGTGACGTACAATAACAGAAGCTTACGCTATTAAACTAGTAACCTGACTCGCGCAGAGGGAGAAATAAACGAATAGTTGAAATAAAGTCGTTATTTTTGTTGTTTTTTGCGCACAAAATTGTTCTCGTCGTTTGATAAACATAAGATTGAGCCCCTGTAGTCACTTGGACTATTTTAACGATGTCTTTAATAACTTTTCGAGGACAGCAAGTCATTCCCTCAAGAAGCCTATGGACTAGTATGCAGGAGCGATCTTAATATCTTAAATATCTTAATTTGTGTTCCGAAGATGAACGAAGGTCTTACTGGGTTGGAACAACATGAGGGTTGATAGAATTTTCATTTTTCGGTTAACTAACCCTTTAACTTTATCAAACGACGAGAATACTTTTGTGTGCAAAAACAAAAATAACGACTTTATTTCAACTATTCGTTTCCTTCTCTGTGGGCCTGTAGTCAGTTAACGTAGTGTGATAGCGTAGAGCTACGTCACACGTAGGCTCACTATTGGCCGACGCTGGTCATGTGTGTGATGCGTGTGACGTACAACAACAGATCATACGCTGTTAAACTAGTAACCTGAATCGAGGCAGAGAGAGAAGTATTGAGAAGTCATTTTGTCAAATTGCTTCATTGCTAGCTTACAGGCTACTTTACTTGATGTAAGAATTGTAAATTGTGTATATTATCAATAAACATAATTATGTGCTGAACATTTGCATTTTGATATTTTGTAAAATTAGAAGCCACTCAAGGCTGTGCATTTCAATTTTACCACAGTTAAGTGGGGTTTACGCAGTCTGCTTTTGTGGCTTTTTGCTTTATTCAATCCCATTCCCAATGTCCTTGATTTTAGATCCCTCCATTCAGTTTCTGACCGTGCACGGCCAGCAAACCCTTTATTTCTCATTCGAAGCAGAATGTTTTCAAATTTTCAAGGACATTCTGGGAAAGGACTTTGCTTTGGCCAAACTTTTACCTGTGTCACACCCGTGTATTTCTCCATCACATGCCGCTGATTGAATTTCCGATCCGCCGCTCGCGTAGAAAGAGGCTGTGAAATATTCATACATGTGAACACGTTCAATTAGTCCCCTGAGATATATGAGGCTCCTGACGCGCTGCAGTTTACTCTCTCGCTGCGGTGTTTGAAGTCTGAGCATGTAGATTTTCTGTCAGTGTTCCTCTGAAGTGTGAGCAGCTTTAGCTCAAAGTAGGCAGATGCCCCGCTGGGTTTGTCTCATAGTTTGTGTGCCATATGGTACCCGCCACCATTCAATGCACATAATTAGAGGGAGACGCTTTCTTAAATCTTTTCATTTGAACATTATCTGCTGAAATTCAGTTCTTTATTTGTTTCTCGACTAAAATATTTTACAATATGTTTTTCATTGTAATAACACGTTAACTCATCCCACCAGCTTTTTTTATTTTTAAAAGAGAAAGTTGCCAGCCACCAACAGCATTTTTGATTATTAAAAAAAAAAAAAAAAAAAAAGTCATGGCCCTTAGAATATTTTTTTGCATGAATATCTGAAGTTTAATAAAAACTTTAAGGTAAGTTTAATAAAAAAAGCAACATTTTGAGCAAAAAGCTGAACATTTTTAAATTTTTTTTAAAGATTACAGTGTGCATAAGCAATGCTTTTATCGTTTGTTTCTGCTCCTTTTTTTGATTGTGTTATGATTCTCTACTCTTTCAGAAGATGCGTAATAGCGCCCCCTATCATATAACAGTGAAAACATGGAAAGCTAGAAAATACCGTCAATGGCGCGGAATGATGTCAATCAGTTAATGATGTCAGAATACTTGAAAATTATTATGAAATTTTGCCATGGCGTTAATAAAGAAGCTTTAACCACTTCTAAAGGTGTTTACCATGTACTAATATTGGACACAGATTGGTAGATGGAAATATGATATATTAATTCATTTTAAAACTGCATGGCATATCTGTACTAAAAAAAGTAAAACAAAAAATAAAATTATTTATTAAAATAATCACAAAAAATTGTGAAAATTGAAAGAAATGGTGACCACCACCACCTAAAATATACACTTTCCTTTATATACATTGATTGAAAAGATGAAATAACTATAGATATTATTCCAGAACTGTGCTAAAATGAACAACTGAAGATAATATCTGCTTTAATGTGGGTTTCTCTTTCTTCCTCTCAGATATGCTGGCGGTTGGAGATCCCAACCAGCAAACCATACTGGCCATCTCAGTGGCTGGAGGTGCAGTGCTTCTGGTCTTGCTGGTGGCCTGTTTTGTTGTGAGCGGACGGTAAGAGCAATTTACTATTTTCCTTTAATTGTTCTCATCTTTAGTCTTAGAATATTCTTTATAAATATCCAGACCCAAATCTTCTGTACGATGAAAAAGCAGTTAATTGGTGACTTCTACATTGACAGACTTGGATAGAATAGTGCCTATCTGGGTTCTTTAACTGTCAACAAATTCATACAAAGGATGAAGAAACCATATTTCATTTAATCAGAGAGAAACTGTAAATATAGAAAGACAGCAAATCGAGAAAATGAGATGTTGTTGTGCGTCTTTGTGTCTGTGCATGTGTGCATTTACACAAAATCAAAAGGACACAAAATTGTTTAGCCCTCTGATTGCGTAGCGTGATCTGTAGAGATGAAAGCAAACACTTGAGAGAACAATTCAAAAGACAGACATGAGGGAGAAAAGCAAGAGTAGAGGCGCTGCACGGCTGAGAGTGAGGGAGCTAATGAAATGGAAATGAAAGGAATGGCTGGATCAGACGAGACGAGGAAGAGAAAGCAGAAAACAAGCCGCTCTTGATGACATGAAATGGTCAGAATGAGTCATGAGCTGATCTTTGTGTAGATGTTTGCCCTTTCACTCGTCCTGTAGGTTGTTTCTATAATATTTTTATTGTCAAATTGATTTTTATGGTAATACTTTACTTAAAACCTTAATGCATAATGCATTACAAAGGTATTCATAATGTGCATTGTTGTAATGCGTTGTATTTTTTCATAAAGAATTGTAACCAAAGTTAGAATTTTACAATATTTGCATATTGAGTCTTTGTTACATACTTTAATTATGCCTTGCCTTGTAATGCATCTTACAATGCATTTTATGGTCACATGAATAAATGTATTTAGAATACGTTTATTGTTTATATATACACATTTATTTGATTTATAAGTATAATATAATGTCATTTAAATATTGCTTACCAACATATATATATATATATATATGTAATGATACAAGGGTAATATGCAGCTACACTACACTACAATACTACAGAAAGACTGGCATCATTTCAGCTTTTTATTATTATTATTATTAACCGGTAATCACATTCCTATTTCAAGGGCTGATTTAGTAGGGATTTTTTGTTGGACGATATATGACCCAGTATGTTGTAACACTGAATGAGATTTCTGTCTGCTTTGCAATTTGTAACCCATAATGCACTGTGACAGAACGGTCCCGTAGGATGTTATGTTGGCCAAGTTTATGCCTGCAAGCCAAACCTTGGTGCTGCCACCTCTTATTCATGGTTTCCAAAACCCCTCATCTCAATGCATGTGTGACTGCTTGTGGGAAGACCCTCGTGGAAGCAATAAAAACAGTTTTGATGCTGATCTTGAATGACGTCCTTCTAGTGTGGTGTGGTGTGGTGGCCAATGAATTATAATGGTGAGTGAACCTAAACTCTCTAATTGCATTCAGTCCCTTGGCATTGGATTAGACTGTGCTATATATACTGGACTTAACAAGGTATTCGTTTCACAGTGCCATCGGTTCTTTTAACTGCTTTCAGAACCTCAGCTGAGCTTTGAGAGAGGGAGGGCTTTCCATTAAAGAGTAACTAAACACTTAACCAACTTTTTTTAGTTAATGATCTGTAAGAATGGATCTTTATTAATACCAGTCATTGATTCGAGTAACTTTTTTGGCATTTGTTTATAAAGTGTTCTGTTTCTACAATATATGGTGTAAAAGCGTCTTAGTGCTGCCCTCTTCAGGTTGAACGGTGGCTACTGCAGTTGAATTTTCCTATTGGATGTTTGAGGTGGTACGTGACACAGCGGTTGTTGGTGACGTAGGCAAGTTCCATACACAGAGATGCGTCTCAGGTGCACGCCCCCCTCCGCTGGGCTCCGCCCACTTTTCCAGCATTTTTCAAATATTGCCAGTGGGCGGAGTCAGGCTCTGACCAGGGGTTTAGTTACCCTTTAATGACAGTTTGAGGTCATTGATTTCTGATTCTCTTGCTGAGCTGAAAACCAAACATATTTTGCCTCTTGTGGGAATCGTAAGCAAGATGTTATGGTTTCAAATGCCTAGATTTAGCTGAATCTGAAGAGATATTTTTTTTCACAAATTTACATTTGTGATTTTCAGGCTTAGAAAAGTGGAAATCATTAAAGAAAAGTGAAAGAAATTTCTATTTTCTAAAACGTTAATGATTTAAAATTAATCATTTGTATCTTGTAATTATAAAAAAAATTAAAAAACTTGTAGAAATGCTTTGTTATGAAGCAATGGGAACTCTGGCCTGTGTGTTTGCACACCAAAGTTTAGGTTGGTCAGAGAAATATGAAAAGTTCAGGCATGTTGTTTAGTGTGTTCAATTTTGTTTTTGCACCAAATTTGGCTTTGATTTGAAGTTGGACGGTGTTCTAGTGCTTGAAGGAAAAAAAACCCATCTCAGATTTACTGGTGATGATGCTGGCAGATGGTCTTCCTTTGTCTTTCATTCCCCCTCTATTTTCCGCTTATATCCAGAAAAGCAATTAAAAATGGTGGACACACTTTAAAGACTTTAAAGATCCTCATGATTGTGTCTGTGGAACATTTCAGCTCAATAACAGATGCCACAGTATATCTAGCAGGTGCCTACTAGCCAAATACGTGCACATTTGCAAGCCTGAGGAGCATTGAATGCCAGCCATGAAAATAAGCTGAAAACTTCAGGCTTCAGCCCCTTGACTTCCTGTTGGACTGCCACCAAGCAATTCGCTAATGCTCATCTTGCATGAAATTATTGCAGCTTAATGATGAAAATGAAATCAAGAAGCCACACACCTGTTTTCTGCTGGAATTATGAATTCATTGGTTATTATCGGCTTTATTGCATTTAAAGTGGTTATGTTTTTTCCCTTGTCTCTCTTACTCAAATCACATTAAGATTTGGCAGATTTGTAGTGTGCTAAACTAAAGCATGCAATTGCTTATTATTTATGACATAACATTATGCAAATTATATATGACATAACAAAATATATGCACACCATTTAACACCTGCTATTTGATGATTGGATATTCTATGGGACTCTGATATAATGTAATGGCAGAGTAAATTATTAAATTCTATCAAATTACATCCACAAAATGATCCAATCCAGGCTGAAAACATCATTACAAGTAAAAAAAATGGCGAACAGGTGGGCTGTTTCTCTTTCTCTGAGGGTCTCAAACCATCTGTGAGGAAAATAAACAAAAACATTTTGGTGTGTGAAATCAGTTTGCAACCATTGCGCTAAAGGAGCTGAAAACAGAAAAAACACAATCAGAAGGAGGTTTCACCCTGAGAGGTTTCAGAGCCACATTTCTCTCTGTAGTGAAACCCACAGTGTGGTGTAATTGTGAATGAAATCTACTTCTCGTGAATGTCAATGTACCAACGTGAGTGCATGTACTGTAGGCTGTTTGAGTAGTGTAGATCGTGCTTTCAAAGCACAGCCGAGGGCTTAATGGGTCTTGTTCGGTTGATTTAGTGCAGACATTACCTGTATCTCGCCCTTGGGTTTGATACCGTACCGTGACTGTTTAGTCAGTCCATTTGCGTGTGGGTTAACAGAAATATAGCAACACATCCAAGTGCAAACACAAAATGGAATTACTGTGCCATTCCGAAATGGTTGCATGAGCGTGTTGGAGTGTTTTTTTTTTTTTTTCACAAACAGTTCCATCTGGCTATTCCAGCGCCTTTCCGAGCAGAAATCGCTGTCCCTGTTGCCCTGGAGCACACCATGACTTGCTCACTCTCAGCACGCAGCTTCACTTAGTATTTCATTTCCATTCGTTTGATAGCAGGCCAGCTGTAGATGTGCCTGGACGCATCAGCGGAATATAGAGGTGGATGATATGTTGGATGCATGTGCAATGGATGGAGATGAGACCAGGATGTGCCATCAATCAGCACGATTTTCTTCTGGATTTCAATTAGCGTAATGAACCCTTCTTAACTGACGGAGTCAGTGTTTTTAAAACACCTGTCAGAGGAGCTAAGAATTTATGACTGTCCATTTCCTCCAAACACACAATCATTTCCTCTTTTAATCATTAGCTTGATTGTAAATCCCCCCCCCCAAAGGAATTTCCGTTCATTCTTATTGCTGTATAAATTATTAATAATAAATGCTTAAATTAATAATGCCTATGCTTAGATCACTTTATAGCCTATGCTATGCTAACCTCTTTACCAATATCACCCGGTCTCATTTTGCAAATAAGGCTCTGATGAAGTGGGCAATTGCTTTCTATATTTTCTGATACACATTGCAACATAAATTATCACATGTAGCATTTCACATTTAATGTAATGACCATTTTCAATCCAAGTAGTTTGAATTGAGGCCGCCATGCCCCTCCATGCGAAATCGTCAGCTTTATCACTTCTGTTTGCAGCATATTTAGGAGGAATTCCAGTAGTTTATCAACTTGGTTTCATTTTCATTTGAATCTTTTCTTTTTTTTTGTAGGTTAAATTATAAGATTATAGAGCCCGTTCTCATCCCAAGGCGTCATATATGACGCTTTTGCCAAAACGTAGACATCCATTGGATTATTCTAGACATTGGATTATACTATGTCCTTCATCACCTATTGGGATGGTTTTATTAAATAATAGCAGGTATTATTAAACCGATTATTGGTAATGATAGATTTGTGTTATTCTGTTCGGCTTGTATTAATCATGTGTGTCAACATGGCCTTGTGCTTCTCCTAAACGATTTAAACTTCTGGAAATGAATCATTGATATTCTATCATTTTAACAGAAAACGTCAGGACTCACATATACTTTGACTGTCTATAGTGTTTCTAGATAAAATGCACGCTTCAGTGAACCATCCCCAAATTAGAACTTTCCTTTGGGAGAACGGGCACATGCAACATGCAAGGACATCAGTTGAATTTTGTTCTGTTGTGCATGCCTGCCACCCTGCTGGGATATATTGACCATGCCAGTTGCTTGGCATGTCCTTGTGGCAGTTGAAAACTGGAGCTTGCCTGCCTACCACTGAATGCCGAACAGACCTCAAGACCCAGCTGGAAGCTGCTTTAACTCATTAGCGCAATGAACTGGAGTATCATTATGTAATGAACTAGTTTGAGGGTCAGAGGAGAGAGTTACCACATTAAAACGACTGTTTTATGCTAGTACACTGTAAATTCCGATTAGTTAACCTTACTCAAAAAGAGCATTTTAGTTTTTTGTTCTGTCCCAAGTCAAGCATCACTCTTTGAATGTTTTTCATGGCTTAAGGGTACTCCAAAATGTTTGGCAATGCAAATATAGCATATGACAGCCCAAACAAAAGGCAAATTGCTTGAGGTAGGTTCTGGAGATTGTCCATTATCAATTCTTCCTTCAACGATGATGGCTGGAGTACTTGGTTAAGGTAGAATAGATTTGGCGAGAGAATACATCATCATCTGTGACAGTCAGCTCCCCAACAGATACTTGTGCCCAGACCTCATCAACATCAGACACATGATCAGTTGTCACTGTGTTATCATGCCCATGAAGGGTTAGTTCACCCCAAAATGAAATTTGTCATGTATTTTCTCTCATGACTTTTGTTCATCTTCAGAACACAAATGAAGATATATATATATTTAATCCATAGAAAACCCATTCTTCTAAAATATATTTAGTATAACCTCTACTTTATAGTGAAATTTTATGCTGCTTTTTCTTTTTATTTCCATATATTCTCAAGGAGGTAGATTTGAGGTATCATTATAAACTGAGTTGCATGCCAACGTTAAAAACGTTATTGTTTGATGTACTATGAGCAATAATATTGTTTTGACAAGCACCAAATATGTCTATTTCCTCTTTCTCTCCATTACATCTTTCTCTTAATGCTTATGGCAGACTGTCTGAGTCAGCTCTCACTCTCAGTTCCCTCAAGCAGGACAGACAGTTTAAGAACCCTCTAATTTTACACCATTCTCCACGTGGTCTCAATGTCCCTCTCTCAAAGGCACAGAGAAAGATGGAAGCCCTGTCAGCATATACAAAGCTGCACCACTGCACTGTCACCTGCAGATACAAGCTTCACACTGAGAGCGGGAGAAAGACAAAAAAGAGGAAGAAGAAAGAAAAAAGAAACTGGGTCATAGACAAAAGGGCTTCCAGCGGTGTAGGGCTGGGAAACGTCTTTATCACCGCACAAAAGGGATTTGAGGAATGCTTCAGTTGAAAAATGCGTTAATTGCAGAGTCCCAGACACTAGTCTGTCACTTTTCCCCCCTTTTTATACACCGTTATAACAGAATATGTAAATAGTGTATTGCATTTTAAATGATTGACAAGAAGGTTGAAGGGTGGGATCACGCTTCCCTTTAGAAGCTCCTGGATGTCCCGCTGCGGCACTGGAAGTGTTTCATCAGCGCGTTGAGCGGCGCTGCAGCAGGTGCAAGGGGGAGGGATCCGTCTGCGGGACCTCGAGGGATGGCGGGAGCAGGTTAGAGAGCAAGTGGGGTCTGTTTTGGGAGAGCCGATTTACTCCCTGATTACCACATGCTTCGGTCGGGTGCCGTGAACACCTCCAGCCCTGCAAACATGTTTCGTTTAATAGACTGTGTTTTGCACATGGGACGGATAAAGATCGAAGGGGTTGAGGGGGTTGTACCTGCGCACAGATGCACACTAGGCCCCGGAGGGGGTGGTGTATGTATGTATGGCTGATGAACAGGTGGGGTCTCTCTTGAGACCCCCAGTCTCATTAAAAGCAGCAGAGAGGAAACGACACACATGTACCTCTGAACCCCCCACCAGACGGGGATGTACAACAGCTGAAAGGGAAAGATTTACCCCCTGCAGCTCCACAGGGAGATGCAACATTCCGGATTAGAGGAGGCGTGAATGAACCCAGCGGTCTTCCCATTATGTAATAGACCCCCAGGTCTGCTCTTGCCCCAACCCTGGCCCCAGGCCCCGATGCTTTGACTGCTCTGGGGCAACTGAGCACTTGGAAGAGGGGGACTCCTGTATTGATTATAATTGTTAACTGGGCATAAAATCAATAGCAGAACCAAAATACTGATCACATGATCGTTTCCCCACAGCTGCTACGGGAGTATACCTTAGCGGTTTGATTGCAGAGTTTTGATGATTTGTCATTGTGGTCTGATTGCAATGCAAAATTCTTGACTGCGAGTTTGAATTGTCCACTGGCCACATCCCACCACAGGAAGTTAAGCTGTAATGACAGGAAGAGATTATCTATCTATCCTTTAAGTCTTTCTGTAATTTGATCTATTTATTGTTCTGTCTACCTGTCATATCCATCTTTCTATCATCCTAATATTCCTTCCTTCCTCCTTCCTTCCTTCCTGCCTGCCTTCCTTCCTGCCTTCCTTCCTTCCTTCCTTCCTTCCTTCCTGCCTGCCTGCCTCCCTTCCTTCCTTCCTTCCTTCCTTCCTTCCTTCCTTCCTTCCTTCCTTCCTTCCTTCCTTCCTTCCTTCCTTCCTTCCTTCCTTCCTGCCTGCCTGCCTGCCTGCCTTCCTTCCTTCTTTCCTGCCTGCCTTCCTTCCTGCCTGCCTGCCTTCCTTCCTTCCTTCCTTCCTCTATTACAGCTATTGTGATTAACGAATCGTGAGAAGTTTTTAAAGTACAATCTATTGAGTACAATCGTTCATCGAGGCCAGTTCTGTATTGACCCAAGGAAACAGTCATCGTTGAAATGTTCGGACCATCCAAAACTTTGGGAAGTTGTGTCGGCGCATTTCCAGAGAAAATAAAATTAACCCATTGTGACATCAGAGGCTCGGATGAAGGAACTAAAAAATACTTTTGTGTTCATTTGTACATCCGAACACTGATCAACTGCAATGCTTCGCCTGTTTGCAAGCCATGATATCTCTCGTGGAAAAACTCTAATTGTGCTCGCGTGTTCGTACTTCCTAGCTCATTTTCTCATGGGCGAGCCACATTCTCTGGGCAGGCAAAGCATCAAGATCAGCCGCGTCTGAGCTTTCAATTTCTCAAAGGCAGAGAAAGATAGCCAAAACTCGGTTTACACCGATTGAAATTTCTAGCCACTGGGGGACCATATACAGACTAGGGGAACTCTTAAATAAGAGTTTGGTGGTTTGGTGGTTTAATGCAAATCCCTGAATTATAGGCTTTATAAAGGATAATCACACAGATTACATTCTGGTCATCTATGTACACAAACATCAGACTGTGTCATACCTCGTTGATTGTTGTGTTGTTTAAAATGGTGTGTCCTGTTAAACTGTGTCTAACTTTCAAAAATGCACCTCAAGACCCCCCTGCAATCTGTTAAATTCTGAATTATAGTGTTGATGTGATAATCATCTAGAATTGATAAAAAAGAAGAAATACCTTGCATTTTGTCATCAGCTATAGTACAATAGAGACTCCAGCATGTATTTCTATTCATAAGAGGATATTCACCTATTATTGAGTCAGTGTCCCCTAGAAACCCATTTAGGAGACCTTTTTTCCACCTGGTCCCCATCAGATGTTCCAGTCTTTAGACATTCTGCAGCCATTCTCAACATTTCAACACAATGTATAATTACTATGGCTAGACAGCCTTTGACATTTACTTTTTTGGCAATACGTTCTTGTTAAAGACATGACAGGAAAAAGGGAATGTGTGAGCGTGTGTCACTAAGAGGATTAAATGAATAATGAACATAATTATCAGTCCTACGTTGGGCACCTTTCCGCCCCAGTGTATTGGAATATTCATTATCTGGGGCATTTTCTTATTCATGATCCCACTGTGAGAGGAATGATGTAGTTAATGATAAAGTCAGAGGTGACAGGATTGCATTTTCCCAGTGCTAAAGAGTGGATTAGCGCAGTGAAATCTTTACTATGTGGGAAAACTGGACTCTATAGACACATTATTTTTAAACTACACTGTTAAAAGATGATATATGTGACTGTATCAGACCGCTGTAGAATTGATTCTACAGTTCTCAACATTTTCTTTTGTCTTGGGGAATTGGTTGGTTGAATTAATCTGAGACAAAGCATGTATTCTTTTGTGTCAGCCTGTTCTAATTGTGCTTATCCTATTGTTCCAGGCGCTGTGGATATATTAAAGCAAAGCAGGACCCGGAGGAAGAGAAAATGCAGTTTCAGCATGGACGAGGTAATGCATGCAGGTTTTTTGGTCGTGGAAAAGATCTTTTTAAGAATAATCAGCAAAATATCCAGCAAATGTTGAAAACCTGAACTTTTTTAAAGATGTATAATGTATTTCATTCAAAGAAAATTCATCAGAAATCTCATCAAATAGGGCAGGGGTTCTAAACTCTGGCCCTCAAGGTCTACGTTCCTGGATTTAAACTGCAGGAAAATGGACCTTGAGGGACAGAGATGAGAACCCTTGAAATAGGGGTTGTATGTCTTTTTGGCCAGTCAGACGGCTAGCATAATTCGCTCTGGCTGGCTGGATGGATGGATAGATAGAGAGAGTGAATGTTTTTCCAGGAAATTGTTGGTTAGTGAACAGTGTCTCTGATGCATCTGCCGATAAATGATGTCTCTGATCGCTCTAGTTGCCTAATGTGTGTTTCTCTAATGACACTTTTCCTGCCTGCCAAAGAAAATGTTCAATGAGGTTGAAAATGTGGCACTCCCCTCCTTTTAGGAAAATGGATGGTTCAGTCTAGGTAACTAAAGTGACTGTAAAACAACCCAACCGTTATCCTCACTCCTACCATTTTGCATTGCAGTCAAACTTCCCGAAACCCGCACGTACATTCACCCGCACACATACGAGGACCCAAACCAGGCGGTGCGAGACTTCGCCAAAGAAATCGAAGTTTCCAACATCCGGATTGAGAGAGTTATTGGGGCTGGTAAGTCAAATGAATGACTCAAGAACATGACCTACTTGTGTAAACCACCTGAACCGCTCACCATGGGGATGCAATGAAATGATATAAGGGATTTAGTGTAAATTCAATTAGCTGACAGGCTTTTGTTTGACTCCTAGGTGAGTTTGGAGAGGTTTGTAGTGGGCGTCTGAGGCTACCCAGTAAAAGGGAGATCCAGGTGGCCATCAAGAGTCTGAAAGCCGGATACTCGGAGCAGCAGAGACGTGACTTTCTGAGTGAGGCCAGCATCATGGGCCAGTTCGACCATCCCAATATCATTCGACTGGAGGGAGTCGTCACCAGATGTAAGTGTTTACATACGAAACACATTGACACATGCAACGTCTATTGCTGGGAATAGTTTGTACCCCCTGTGAGATAATTGACCTTACAATCTTATCTTCAACAAAAACAAAATAGCATGGATCATGAATATTCATTTGAATAAATATGTATGACAATGTTTATATCGGTGCTTTCCTGGACCTACTTCTTCAGAATACAAATGTGCTATGACAATATGCCTTTGAATTTGCTTTTATTACCTTAGCTGGTGACATAATGTCTTCAAAAAAGTCTTAGATAACACGTCGTGATAGCGAGGCTTCACTTTTGTTAAAGGAAAATAGGTCTGTATTTTAGGTCTGTGTTACGTCTGATTGATTGTATTGCCACTACTGAGAATCTAACATTGATGCTCGCTGCTCCCGGATGATAATGAGGATGCTAATTATAATTTGCCAACTTATTGAGAATGCTGTCGCTGTTGTGTGTTGCAGGCCTCCTATTGTCTGTGTTCAAAAAAGCAGTGTCTTGCAACAGGTGTTTGGGTCACTATTGAGTGGTAATTTCCTCTACAGATCTCTTTCCTCTTTCAAGCCTCTGTGGATTAGACTGGCAGGCGCTGTAACAAAAGGACCATCCATATTCATGCCGGCTGCATGAATATCGATAATGCAAACATGTAATTGGATGTGAGTTTTGGGAGGGATCATGAATATTCAATGTCACAAATATTAACATTAATCCTCTCGACATTTCCTCCCAGTTCCTCTTACTTGCGCAAAATGCTAATGGTGGCCTTTAGTTTGATTCGGTTCAAATAGTTCATATTAATGTTGGCAGTTTTTTCCCCATCTTATTAAGTAAAAATACAGTAATTTTCTCCTTTTTAATTCTGTGGGTCCTTAATAATTATGAGGGTATGAAAGTCTTCATTCAAAAAATGTCAGTATAAGACTTTCATTATTGTAGGCTTTTGAATGTCCAAAGGTGCACTGTGAGTTTTACACAGAAATAGGAATTTATAAAATGGTTTTAATTTTTAATGTTTATTTTTTTTACTTGTGTATGTAGGGGGATTGAAGCTGAAGTGGCCAATAAAAAAAATGTATGTGCAAAGTTCTGTAATGAAACTTTAGATGGCGCAGACTGATGGGTCCTTAACGCAGACTGATGATATAGAGTGCTGAAGTTATGACGTCACTCTGTAGGCCAAAACGCGGAAGCGAGTTAGCATTTTAGCACTACCGGTTCCCCCGCTCTAAAGCCTATGGGATTTTTGATTTGGTTTTTGCTAAATCGCCTGAAATAAGGTCTGTGGTGAACAAAGCCTCCAAATATTTTCACGTTTTGATCTATGACATAGAACACACAGTTATAACCTGCTTGTGGTTTTTTAAACTTTATTGTGTCTGATTGTGTTTTTTAAAATCTATATATATAGGCTTCAAAATGTATAAATTTTGGATTAACCTAATTTTGGACAAAACGTGTAAGGGTCACTACTCTTTGTTGAACACAGATCTTATTTTTTGCGATTTTCCAAAAGTCTATGGGGAAAATGCATGGCTTTTCGACCGAAGGAACCCATGCGCCGCTAGCTTTCGAGTTGTCCTACAAAGTGACGTCATCGCTTCGGCACTCTTTTCACAGCTTTAACTACTCGCCACAAGCTGATTGGTTTGTCGCATCTGCCGCCAATGAGCTTGCTGTTCAACATTTAAATGGCTGGTTAACATTTACAATAGCAGTTTGCAGCAAGCTTTTAGAGTTCCTCCGAAAACCTCCAACATCCCCAGCTCCACCTGCATAAAACTGCTAGTGGTCACTTTTATATATGCTATTTGTGCAGCAGCATTATATCTTACGTACTCACAGCAGCGTATTGGCGTATGTATTCCTATACTGTATGAGTTGCTGTACTTGCTCTGTAGCAGCAGCAGCAATAATCAATGGTAGAAGTAATTTAGCAGCAGCATAGCAGATCTATTCCACCAAAACCAAATATATTTTCATTGTCATATCTATTACCATGCTAAAAATCTTCCAAGTGTTTTCATGATAGAATATTATTTATTGTATTGTATAGATATTATATCTAGGATGGTTACAAATGGCTGAACGGGAAAAGTTGTTTGAAACGGCTTGTTTTATGCTAATATATGTACATACTGTAAGCCATGCACTCCCTCATTTAGAACAATCCTGGTTAAAAAACAATCAAATAACAATAAAAACATAATTATGTATGTGTTTACCTGTGGAGAGCTGCATGAGAACCTTTCCTGCACACATATGTAAAAGACACTTGTATTTAATTATCAGCGAATGAGGCTCAATGAAACTATCAGATAACGTATCTACCATCAAGTAATATAACACACGTGTGTGCTTGGGTCGGTTTGCGAACGTGTCTTCTTCCACCACTGATTGGGTGAGATTTGATAGCCGGAGTAATTTCACAGGTCACAGATCAGCCTGATGGCGTAGGGGATGGGGACAGGAGAGGTCAGCGACCCCCCTCGCATTACAGAAGCAGCTGTCAATCCAGCCCCCTCCTCGTACGCACAGACTAATCACGGTGCTGATGGAGCCGAGCCGAGATGCATTAAAGAGGCTGAAGAGTGTTTATGCTGCCTGACGGAGCGGCGGCGAGATAGACAAAGAGTTTTGCGCTGTAATATGAAAAGCATCTGTCATGTAACACTGCTTTCGGAGAGAGGCACTCTATCATTACCACCTCAGACGGAAAAAATTAGACTGTGATTGAGTTTTTTGTGATGCTAATGTGTCAGCAGCTCAGAGAATGGAATCAGAATAGACCTTAATGCCCTATTCAGTTCTTTATCCCCCATCTTTACAAAAACACCGAGCTGTCATCGTCTCTATTATAGACCCATTGTGGATCTTAGCGCACTCCAGTCTACTATCTGATAACGTTCGCTATCCACGGCTGCTTTTCAGGTTCATTCCAGCTGAGTTCTCAAGAAAAGTTTTTTGTGCCTTCAACAGGGGTAACAATAGACGAGAGAATGTCATTTCTAAATCATTGAATGTATTGCTTTGTTCGGAGTAATGTGTCCTCTTAAAGCTTAACTTGTTTTGAACCTGAACATTCCTTTATCCTCAGATATTTTACGACAAATTGCTGTCATCTCATCAAAAGCCCCCACAGCATGTGATGATTGCAGATAAAGTACAGAGCAGACAGTGAAGTTGCAGGTTTTTAATGTAAATCACCTTTTCCAGATTGCTTTAAATACATGAATTCATTCCTTGCTCCTGTGATAATGACCATAATTACAACCTTTCAACAGCAGTTGCGCTTAGCGTAGATCGGCCCACCGCAGGACGTAATATGCTCATTGCCTTTTTTAAATCATGGCTGTTTGAGTGTGTGTGTGTGTGAATGGTGTCTAATTGGAGCGCTCCTAAAACTGCTGCAACATCAATCACCCTTAAATGTGAGCGCATGAATTAGTAGCTAGGTAATTTAATTAACAACTTATCAGTAGAACCGTCAGCCATTTCTTAAAGGGATAGTTCACTTTGGACATCAGATGGACATGGAGGTAAAAACGATAGGCCTATAAATACTGTTCGTTTTCTCACACAAACTGCTCGTTTCGTGTCTTAGGCCATCAATGTGTACTTGCATTTATGAGTCATTAAATCATGTTTAATTTGGACTTCTCTGTGCATGCTCTTTGAGGTGGTGACCATAGACCTGCATTATATGACTTATAGACAAGAACGGTTTGACCTAAAAATATCAAAATTGAAAATACTGTGGAAACAAAGACACCTCTTGGATGCCCTTGAGGTAAGCTAAAACATATCAAAAATTAATTTCAAAGTGAACTATCCCTTTAAGAAGCTGAAACGGCTTGAGTAAGGAAATAGACGTCAGTTTGATTTGATGTGCGGACATCGGCAATGTCGGAGAGATGTTCTGGTTTATCTTTAAATGCGGTCTGTATTTCATTTCTGGCCAAAGGTTTGTAGGTTGAGGCAAGGAAGCCATGTTATCCAACTATCTCACTGTCAAAGTAATTTGTCCCACGTTGATAAGCTAATGTGCGATCTGTTCGGATGTCCGTCACCACGCTTATCGTGTGACATCATTTCTAAAGGGCGTGACCAATACATTTGTGATTAACTTACAGTGGCAGCGAGGACATGCAGTGCAAAACCCATTCGCTTGAAACCACAAACAGTCACATCTTAGGCCTTGGTGCTATAAATAGCTTGTTAGGCTGAATGGGGTTTTATTGGATTCAATTTCTTTGTGCTTTGCTGAAGTAGAGATTACAAAGCCATAATGAAACCATTGACTCTTTGCTTGAACCCTCATCCGCAATTCTCCAGTCTGCAGGCTTAAATTGTGTCTTGAAATTGACAGGGTGAATGTCTTGTTAACTTTGTCTTTAAGGTCTTCTACTCACATTTTCTTTTTACTTCGTGTATTGCTGCTAGAAATGGGCAAACGTCACAGAGCAATTGCAGTAACAGCTGATGCAACGTTTCCAATAAACATATACTGTCTAATAGTTAAAGCATAATATAATGTAATAATTAAAGCACAGCTGCTGATATATATTTATTAGGGCTGTCAAACGATTAATCGCGAATAATCACATTCAAAATAAAAGTTTGTGTTTACATAATATATGTGGGTGCACTGTGTATAATTCTTTTTGTGTGTGTGTGTATATATATATATATATATATATATATATATATATATATATATATAAATACACACGCATGCATGTATATTTAAGAAAAAAATACTTATATATAAATTATATTTAAATATAATATAAATTATATATAAATCTATATACAATATATACATGAAAATATTTCTTAAATGCATGTGTGTGTATTTATATATATATAAAATAATTATACACAGTGCACCCACATATATTATGTAAACACAAACTTTTATTTTGGATGCGATTAATCGCGATTATTTATTTGACAGCCCTAATTTTTATTATAATATTTTGATAAAGAATGTATTTATTTAATAAGTAAATGCATGCATATTAACTGGATTTACTTATTTTTTCATTGGATTTAATTTAAATTATTTTAAGGAAAAAAAAATACCCTGTAAATTTACAGCAACAATATAACGTATAATAATATATTACATATAATATATGCAATAAATAAGAAGAAACATCACTTTTTGACCTCAATAATAAAATAGTAAAATGGAAAAATGTTTATTTTAAATTTAAATTGTATTTACATATTTATTTGTTTGTTTAGTTGGTTTTATTTAGAAAATGCATGCAATAACCTTTTGGTTGCTAGTCCAGATTGTTAGGCACAACATAAAGGGCTCCTCAAATAGATTGTGAGCATCTCTAGGGTTAAACGTCCTCTAACATTGATGTGTGTCTGGTGCCCTGAGGTGAACGTTTCTGCCGTATGTAACATCCATCAAGCATCTCTGATAATCAGGATGGATTAGCATGCGCTCTTCAGCATGTGAGGCGAGAAGGGGGTCTCTCTGACTGACAGTGTGTTATTTGGGTGGAATCAGGGGAGAATTTTTAATCACTTTTAGCATCGCAGGTGCAAGATCCCCATATGTGCCTCTTGCAGCTGTGTCTGCAACATAGCGGAGAGGTGAACACTTTTCCCGTTAGAAGATCTTTACACCCCTTCTTATTTCCCCCCACCCCCCAGGGCAATTAATCACAGCACTCCTGAGCACCCCCACCACACCCCCTTCATCATCCTTCCTCCAAAAGGAACTCATTACCATTTTAGGTATTTCTGGACAAAGATATTCTCAGTGGACAGCTTGCTCTAATTATCTGCCTGACTGTTATTGAGAGCTTTGATTAGGGGCTGTCACTATGAGTAACAGGCAGCAGGTAGAGGCAAAGGAAAGCTGGGACAAGGGTCTGTGAAGTCTCGGGAAGTGGGGGAGGTGTCCGCTCTCTTTATCTGCATGTTTTTCTCTGTCAACTCGGAAATGAATTAAATATAGGACACAAAGCGCCTGCCTCTCCGTTGTGTCTTTTCTTACCCGCCTGTGAAAAAAAATGAAACATCTTTCTCTCGCTTTGACTCTCTCTCTCTATTTTCAGCAATATTTCACACTTCCTGCTTTGTCTCCTTCTGTCCCTTAGGTAAGCCTGTGATGATAGTGACAGAGTACATGGAAAATGGATCTCTGGACACTTTTTTGAAGGTGAGCATCCTCTATTTTGCTGCGAATGATGAAGGCCAATTTGCACCAAAGGAAATGCTGTGAAATATCACAGGAACACAAAGCAATCGTCTGGCTCTTCCAGATCAGGCTTGACAACTCGAGTGTTCACACCTCTCGATGCCTGTTTTTTCTTTGTGTCCCTCAGCTTGTCTTCTCCTACCCAGCTTAGACCACCATGATTTATGCTGGTTTGGTGTTTGTGTTGCTGGTGCACCATGATGGTCACAAGCTAATCTTATCTGGTGGAGATAGTTGACCAGCATGGTCTTTCTGATAAAGCTGGTCGCTAGCTTAGATGATTGATGGAGACACTATAGCCACAGTTTATGAAAATATCCCTTCCTATAATATTAAAGGGATAGTTCACTTTGAAATTAATTTTTGGTATGTTTTATCTTACCTCAAGGGAAGCAAGATGTAGGTGTCTTTGTTTCCTCATTAGTTTCAATTTTGATAATTTTAGGTCAAACTGTTGTCTGTCAGTCATATAATGGAGGTCTATGGTCACCACCCTGAAAGAGCATGCACAGAGAAGTCCAAACTAAACATGATTTAATGACTCGTAAATGTAAGTACACATTGATGGCCTAAGACACGAAACGAGCGGTTTATGTGAGAAAACGCCACAAAGTGCCCTCAGATCACTTGGACGTGGCTGTGGTTACAAGAGGTAAAAACGATATAAATACTGTTCGTTTTCTTACACAAACCGCTCGTTTCGTGTCTTAGGCCATCGATGTGTACTTACATTTACGAGTCATTAAATCATGTTTAATTTGGACGTTTCTGTTCATGCTCTTTGAGGTGGTGACCATAGACCTCCATTATATGACTGACATACAAGAACGGTTTGACCTAAAAATATCAAAATTGAAAATACTGTGGAAACAAAGACACTAAAATTAATTTTAAAGTGTACTATCCCTTTAAGGCAGATATATGTTTTCTGTTTTTATGAACCCTTTTATACTATGTGAGAAAAATGTTAAGAATGATATAAAGGCAACATTATTTCTGAAATTAAATAATGGGCTTTATGTTATCATTATGCTAAAGTCAAAGCATATTATTGGAATATTATTTTGAAGTATTTACTTTGTATTAGGTTTACAGTGTATATTTTCTTCCACCCACTACTAATGTTAGGATTAAATTAACCATCTTTAAAAAGCAGAATGAAGCCATAATGTCAAATTGGATACAAAATATTTTGTCAATTGGTCAATTTAAATTTAAAAAAATAGTATATACATATATATAGTACCTTTTTTCTCAATTTCAGTTTGAAACCCACTGCACTAACACACCAGCATCCTGTTATTGCCCCAATATTACCCTACAACAGTGGTTAGCAATCAAAACATTTTGTTTTCTTGCCAGAGGGTTTAATGAAACATCATAATTTGGTTAGTTTGTTACCTACTTGCCATTGCTCGCATAAAAAGCCTGAATGATTATACAGTCATTAGAGTTTAATCGCTCATGCCCAGCAACATGTGAGCAACACTTTTAATTAGGGAGCCAATGAATTATGAATTACTCACGAGACAAATTCAAACCTGACCGACTGTGCCAGGATCCACAGAGGTTGAACACAGCAGAAAATAAGGCCACAGGGATGAGTTTTTGACATGAGAACTCTTCATTTTGTTCAGAAACACGACGGGCAGTACACGGTGATCCAGCTGGTGGGAATGATGCGTGGGATAGCCGCAGGGATGCAGTACCTTTCAGAGATGAACTATGTGCATCGGGATTTGGCGGCACGAAACATTCTGGTGAACGGAAACCTGGTGTGTAAAGTGTCTGACTTCGGGCTGTCACGTGTGCTGGAGGACGATCCAGAGGCGGCGTATACTACACGGGTGAGAGATCATGCTTCTGCTCTGGATGTTTGCTCTTCTCGGTCTCATTTTAACTGGATTTGCTTTGCAATGTTTGTTGTGATATGTTTACTGGTTTATTTTTATTTTTTTAAGAAATATAAATTGATTGTGTAAACAAAAAAACAGACTCTGCGAGATATATTCTTGCTGACCTGTAGTCTGGAAATGAGGTCACACAGGACTGTCATAGCAGCTATCCAGACTGATGGATGGCTGAACATCCACTCAGTGTATGCGTGTGTGTGTGTGTGTGTCTGTGTTACTCACTGCTTATGAATGCATTTGTACATGGTTTTGCTGGAAAATCACTATAAAATGATGCCCTTTTTCTTCAAAGTTTTGATTTTGTTTTTGGGTCTACTAGAATAGGTGTTCATGCTTCAATGTTAAAAAAAAACACCTTATTTTTCACACATTTAACACTCTTGGGTGCATTTCCCAAAACCATTGTTACAAGTTCCATTTGTTATCAGCATAGTTCAACTAGTCGGTGTTTCCCGAAAACAAAGTTCACTACTGTAAAGCTGCATGATTTTAATGCTAGCAATGCTAGTGTGATCACTTAATAGTTTTGCAATTTGTAGCGATGCTAATTCCTACAACTGCTAACCTCTGATTTTGTGCTTTTTTTTTTCTTTTTAAGGGGGGTAAGATTCCCATTCGATGGACAGCCAGTGAGGCCATCACCTACAGGAAGTTCACATCAGCCAGTGACGTGTGGAGTTACGGCATTGTCATGTGGGAGGTGTTATCCTATGGGGAACGACCGTACTGGGAAATGTCCAATCAGGACGTGAGTAAATTCTGAATTTGAATGTTACCACAGTTGCATTGGCATCAGTTTTATTTTAGTATTATTTATATACCTTTATACTATTTTTTTTTTAATATTTTTTTTTTAATTAATTAAAATTTTGGGAATTTTGCCATGTACTTTTTATGTGCATTTTTATTAGGTATTTTTTTTTTAATTTAAGATTAAGTTTTTTATATATTCGTTATTTATTTAAGCTTTCTTTCAATTAACAAAAATAGTCTTTATATTAGTTAACAATAACAACACTGGTAACCATTGCCATTGGCCTGAATTTCTAAATGTGACAGTCCTCATCGATTTGTAATAAAATACCTTTCCCAGAGAACTTCAGTGGAACTAGAATTAAAAAAAACCCTCCCAGGCTTACAAAGGTAAAAAGATTAAATGCATCTGGAGGGTGAACATTTCCAGATTTCAATTCACAGGCTGCTTTAAAAGAGGGAATTTGAATCCGTGTCAGCGGGTTCTTGGGAGATTTCCCACACCAGAAACCATTTTCATTTATTTATTTTCACCTTGGGATGAGATTTGATCAGGATTTGGAATCGAGCTGCATGGGAGAGAAATTGAGACATTTGGGAATGATTCGAGACTATACTCGTCATGTTAAACTAGAGCACGAAAAACATTTTTATGCTTGTTAGTGGATGCACTTTTATTGTGTTGAGGGAAGGGGATTTCGAAAGTTCCATTCATGGCGCAAACCACAAAATCCATCTGTCTTCCTTCCTTTTCCATGGTAACAGGCATTGGTGCGTTTCAACGGTTACAGTCTTCCAGGCAAGAGTTAAGATAATATGAATGTCTGCATCAGGCTAGTTTATTCTTTCCCTTCCGGCGGTATCATTTCATAAAAGAGACTAAATTAAACAGCTCCCCTTTACGCAAACAAAGACTGTCTCACTCGAAATATCATTCTCACTTCAAGTCACAGATGGGTAAAAAAATGAATTAAGCTAACCCCACACAAAAGCTAATGCATGAAGCGAATGAATAAATCTGCTCAGTATTCATGAAGCGTATACGCTGCTAATAAATGTATGATTTTTAATGTGAAATCCTCTTCCCTCCAGGTGATAAAAGCAATAGATGAAGGCTACAGGCTACCGGCTCCAATGGACTGTCCGGTGGTGCTTCACCAGCTCATGCTAGACTGCTGGGAAAAGAACCGCAGCGATCGGCCCAAATTCGGGCAGATTGTCAACACCCTGGACAGGCTGGTCCGGAACCCAAGCAGCCTGAAACAGCTGGCCAACTCTGCAGTCTGGTGAGCCAAATGCACTCAATTCAATAGAGGTGATCCGTTGGGATGTGTGCTGCAGTTTGTTCGGCACAAACGGTGTGTAATATATATATAGCTCATGATAAAGAGTGTGATGATGATTCTCGGGTGTGTGATAAAATCCGAGGTGTTTTTTGCAGTAATCCAATAAACTTGAAATAAATGAAACCGATATCCGGCTAATCTAGATTGAAGCCAGATGTACATCTGTACAAACTTCTTACTTCCAGTACATGTTTTTCTCAGTCGAGAGGGGGGTTTTTGAGGTGATATTGGCTGGTATCTGATTGCTTGTCTATCCTTCTGCTGCATTTTGAGGGCTGCCAAATAGAGGCAGATGGACGCTGGATTGTTTCAACTGTGCTTGCCACAATTAAAGCCAAATGTGCAAACTGAGTTTTCCCACAAACCACTGGGAAGCCCTTGCCCCATGTCCCTACCATTAAATAAAATGGGTTTAAATTGCTAAGATTGGGTGTGCTATATTGGACACTATGCAGCAGAGAGGGAGAGAGTGACAGAGAGGCGCAATCTGCCTCCCTTCTGGACCTGGAAAACATTACATGTCCAGGCAATGATAAGCTTCTGATAAGCTTGCAAACACACCCTGGTTTCTTACTCTTGAAACGGTAATTTGTGTATGTGAGTGATTTTTTAAATGCTCACATCATGGCAACACTAATGTTACAAAATTAGCTGATAAAACAGCATGGTTTTTGTAGATATATAAATTAAATTCTACCAAAAACACAGCAAACAAAATGGATACCGGTCAAAAGTTTGGTCAATGCTCACTAATCCGCTTATTATAATGATTTCTGAAGGATCTTGTGACACTGAAGGCTGGAGTAAATTCACAGGAATAAATTACATTTTAAACTATATTTAAATGGAAAAACGTTTCGCAATATTACAGTTTTTACTGTATTTTTGATCAAATGAATGCAGCCTTGGTGACTGAGCTTTTTAAAAACATTAAACTTGTAGTGTACATCAAACATCACCACAGACCAGTATAGAAGGCTTGCTTCAGGGCAGTTTTGGCATATGTCATACTAGATGTGAAATGACATGGGTACAGTATATAAGGCTGTTATTGTAACTGCACTTCCTCCTCCATCGACAGGGAGGACCCAGTAACTCCTGACACGGGGGTCAACACAGTGGATGACTGGCTGGACTTGATTAAAATGGGTCAATATAAGGAACAATTCTGTAGTGCCGGCTACGTCACCCTGGACTCGATTCTGTATGTCAGTTCCAGGTACAGTAAACAGCACCTACTCGTAGACCTCACATTTATGCTAGTATGAGATGTTTGGTTAAATTTCAGAGACTGTTTACAATGGTATATCAGCTTACTGCGTACTGAGAATCAAACTCTGCATAGTATACATAATGCAACATTTTTTTTTCAGTAGTATGGCGTTATATTTGAAATTGAGTACTAGATAACTATTTACTGGTAATTATAAACCATATACTACCTACTGTTTTCTAAGAATGATGTAAAAGAGTATGCAATATGCAATGTTAAATGCTCCAAACAATAGTTTGCTATAATGTTTTGATATGGCCTCATTGCATTACATGTTTAATTCATTACAAAAAGTGGCAACCAGTTATCTCAGAAATAAGTATAATTGGTTCGCATTTTTGTATATTAGTATTTACATTTTTGGCAGTATGATCAAAAGTAAGTATGCAGCAGTAGTATACCACATTGTCACATGACCTCATTACGAGTTATTGACTAGGAATTTGGAAGTCGTTATACATTTTAATTCAATTGTAGACTTAAACTTTGACTTAGAAAACTTGAATGTCCCCGAAAGGCAATTTGTTGTACAATACAGGCATATTGACACATAATCCACAACACAAACATTATCTACATACACAATATCACATATATTCACCAGTTCCCCACATCTTATTGGATTGGGTTATTGCCATGGGAATGAATGAATGTTTTGCTCGATTTGTTCTAACCAGATGAACGTAAAAATTAAGGCCAATTGTATGTAAAAATGATGTGCATATTGGCATTTTATTCAAATATTGGAAGGTTGAGTGGTATTGTTCAATACAAAAATACTCTACTTCCATGTACACGCTCAAAAATAAAAGTTTCAAAATGGCGTTTTGGCAGCGACACCATAGAAGAAACCTTTTTGGTTCCCCAAAGTACCTTTCAGAGAACAGTTCTTAAAATAATTGTAAGATTTTTGATCTAAAGAACATTTTTTTTACCACTGTAATGAACCTTTTGTGTAATGGAAAGTTTCCATAGATGATAAAAGTTCTTCATGGAACCATAGATGCCAATAAAGAACAATAAAGTGCAAGATATCAATTTGAGTAATGTCGTCGTGTATTCTACATCATTTGCAATGATGTACACATTTAACAAACCACATATTATACAAATAATTTGAGTAGTTTGCTAGCATGCTATTACAAACATAGCCACCCTTAACTAAGACATTTTCTTCTGTCTCTTCGTTTCTCTCACAGTGAACTGGATAAGATGGGCGTAGCACTGGCAGGCCATCAGAAAAAGATCCTATCTAGTATCCAGTGTCTTCAGGCACAGCATGGGACTCAAGTTCAGGTATAGCGCATCACCTCAATGCCCTCAAATTGTTCCGCCTCCACCGAAGAGGAGATTGGGAGCGTTCTTGCCACATGGAAGCATCTTGCTGCAAAATGACTCTGTCTTATCTCTCTACCAGCACTGAAGTTCCTCAGCCCTACAGGAGAATGGGCGGGTACTTTCCCTTTTGTGATCAGCATCTAGAAATCTTCTAAGGCAGTTGATCACTCTGGATATTCAAAGACTGTGGATATGTATTTATCCAAGTGAAGTAAGGACAAGGATCAACACCATGTGACATCACAGCACTGTGAACATCACGCTCCACTCCTCATTGTACAGAAGAAGACCTTGAGAAGAAACACCGATCGTGTCTTGTAAATCTTTTTTTGCGAGTGATACTAGTACGATTTTCTTCAATAATGTGAACTGCGAGGATGAGGAAACCTTCAGCGAGATGTCCTTGAAGACTTGTGTATGTGGAAATAGTTTAGAAACATTCAGCTCGCCTTTAGAAAGCAATGAAGCACTGATCTCTCTTTCATGCGTACACACACACACTTAAACGGTACGTAGAAGGACCGCTCCTTGACCCCTAATGCCACGCCGTGCTCCTGTCAAGCCCTCGGCAATGTCTTTGGAATATGTCAATTCCACCGCGGAGAACCCAGAGTTTCGAGGGCCCACGCTTGTCACTTTTGGCAAATTCTGACATCTGATGAATAGCAACTGCGAAACGAGAGACGTTTAAGGAATGCAAAGTAACTGTGGCTCCAGACACAGGACAGCGTGACGATGTCATGAAGAGGGCAGATGTCGTCCTTCCTTCACACTGGCAGCAGCTTTCGGACCTTTTCAACACGCTTTTTGTGGAGCCAGTCCATTTGATGTGGCTTTTCTTCAAATTTCTTTGCATATTTAAAGTATTTCGCCTCATTAAACGCATTTCATCATGAACGTGAGCCGTTATGGACATCTTTGTTGGAAGGAGACAGGATGTGTTGAGCATTTAACGAGGGAGCCTTTATCCCTAAATCGTCATGGTGTTGATGGAGCTGCACTCGGTGGACTGTCGAACCTGTATTTGTGTTGGACCCCTTTTAGCGTAGCACTCTGATGGTTACCGAATGCTTGGTACCTTCTGATTACGTTGTTAGATTTGATTGCAAAATGGTGGAGCATGTACATTTCGTGCACCATGTTCACAATCCCGTGTAAAAAGTTGTCCGCAACAGATGCTGGTGCTTTGAAAATAGGTTCATCCTCCATTTTCTGGTTCCTCGCCCCATGTTTCTTGGCAGTGCTTTGTTTTCGCACTTGGAAATGGTGTGATTTGAAGAAGAAAAGATTGTATTGCAGTAGAAATCGAGACATTGTACAGTGTTGGTTATTGTATTTGTACAGTAATGACTTAGTGTTTTGAAGGTTTTTGTCAGTTGTAAATTAAGGTGGTAACTCTTATTTTAACCTTCAACTCTAGCTTTGAACAGACAAGGATTGTGAGGCTGTAGAATGTAATGGACTATTTAGCTTTATGGTGTTGGGTAAAGCTAAGCATTCTCAGGATTGTTTTTTTTTTGTCACTGATACACAATTCAAAATGGCAGCGGATCAGACAGAACCGCCTACTCAGTTTTGTCGTCTACGGATTTACTTCCTGTTTGATGCCTTTTAGTTTCAGTGTTCATATTTATGTTTTGTCATCATTTACTTTTGGTGTTTTTTCATTTTGTCTTGTTTTCCAGTAAAAAAAAAGTTAACATAAGAATAATATGTAAACATAACATTGTTTTCTTGCATGATTCTAAGAAACTTTAGTGGAGTCTATGCTTATAGTTTGTCAAGTGGGTAAAAAGTTTTATTCATGATGCTGCATATCCCCTAAAACGCATTAGTTTCTACAATCTCCACTACGTTACACCTCGCTACTGGTCAGTAAGATTTTTTTGAAAGATATTGATACTTATAATTCAGCAAGGTTGTGTTTAATTGATCAAAACTGTATTTTAACATGTTAAAACAGATTTTTAAGTTGTATTCATTTTACAATTTTACTGTTTTTACTGTAATGTTGATCAAATAAATGCAGCCCTGGTTATTAGAGAATTCTTTCAAAAAGATAAAAAATGTTACTGACCCAAAACTCTTCAAATGTAGTGTATTTTATTTTATATGTATTAATATATCTGTTTTTAGGATGTTTATAAAATCAACCAATTTATTGGAAAACAAGACAATACTGAATTAATTTTGTTTTGTTTGTTTTTTGCAGTGCAGTTGCAAAGTATTTAGATGAAACGGTAATGATTTAAAAAGCCAATCTCAGAAATTCTGGTAAGTAAAAGGCTTAATGATATTTATTTCATATACAGTAATTATAATATTGATAGACACGTTCTAAATGCAGAGGCACCAAAAACAGTGTTATTCTCTCATTCTGTGACCTCTCCGGGAAAGTGTTCCTTTTAATTTAATTGAAACGATAACGAAGAATGTTTATTTCTTCCAAATATTTATTGATGCAAGTCAAGGTTATAATTGTAGTAATGGGCACATCTGCTCTGTGCTTTTAGTAATTCTTAATTAGGAGCTATTCCTAATTGTCAGATTACTGAAACATATGTGCCTATTCAGATTTGTAATTTCCCATGCGGCAACAATAAGAGCGAATAATTTAATGAAGCGTTGCAAAAAGCCTCTCCCAACCCAAAACGATACACTTTGAATCCTGGGTTTCTTGGAATGATTCTCATTTTTCATGTTTTTAGTTTTTAGCCTACTATTAACACAACACAAACATGCACACAAACTTTTGCAGTTCGATGCAGTAAACATTGTCTTGAAGCATTTTTGACATTCCTTTTAATTTTTTTTAGAAATAATAAATGCAGTTGTTTGTGTTCCATTTTGTGAAGTACTGTTATTATCATGCAAACTTTGGTCTGGCAAGTCCACACTACCTGTTACCGAGTTATACCTGCACATTGCATCAGGCCCTTGGTTAGACATTTTTAGCCAAGACACATCACCGATAGTGAACACCCAACTTCTTAAACTTTGATTGCCAGGTTTGAATATCAGCCAGGATTAGCACTGAGAATAATAAATAAATGTCACTCAGCGGTCGAGACGTGCAGCGCTGTTTGAAAGATATTAATGATGTGTCTGGAAGTCGTCAATTAAACTGTAAGAGGCCACTCTCTTTTGTCCAAAAGTATCAGTATTACAAAATCGTTGGATAGATTTTCAATTGGCCTCTATAACTCAGCCAATCAGGACTGTTGCTTTGTTGTACGAGTAACCGCACCGTGCATTACATAATTTAATCATATCTGGTACACTTGTGCTGAGGTGTACACATGTGATGCACTTTGCCAGCCACTTCTAAACTGGAGTACTTCAGCCCTGAGTATAAAAAGCTTCTCTGGCTTGTACAAGGTCAGTAATGGATACACGATCAGATAACTAGATGAAGGGTCACTGAGTCATTGACTTTAGCAAACCAGCTCCTCAATCAGTACCTGAAGATGTTACCTCTAAATTTCTGTGTATCTTTTGTTTCGATTTTTCAACATTGTGATGATTTGTGTACCGGTTTGGTTATTTCATAAAGCTCTTGTTGAATTGTATGCATTTTGAACATTGTCCAATAAATATGTTAATATTTTTAGTCCTTTGTTCTCATTTGTGTCTATGTAATTATGTATTAGTAAGTGTGTGTATATATATATATATATATATATATATATATATATATATGTATATAAATATCTTCTACTGACACAATACAGCAAAAGTTATAAATAACTGTCTTAAAACCATTCTTTCTTTGTGAAAATACTAATGTGCTTGCTTAAGACTTTTGCACTGTACTGTGTGTGGATGGATGGATGGATGGATGGATGGATGGATGGATGGATGGATAGATAGATAGATAGATAGATAGATAGATAGATAGATAGATAGATAGATAGATAGATAGATAGATAGATAGATAGATAGATAGATAGATAGATAGATTATTTGATTGATTGATTGATTCAAAGCAACGGGTTTCCTCGCTTTAAGTCAACTGATCACTTTTTACAGTGTATATTTAAAGCAATCATAATGCATTGTGTAATTTAAAGCATCACTAATGCAGAAAAATCAGGAATGAAAGGTCATTTCCAAAGAAAACAGCGAACATCTGTCACCAGAAAATGGTTCCTGAGCCTAGACTCCCCAGAGCGATAGTGAATCAACACACAGGTAAACAGACTGTCAGACGCTTGTCTCTCTACTTTCCCTTCTACTTCTTCCAGTATATGCTCGTGAGATCCATGCTAACTGAAAGCAAACACAGCAGAGGTCTTTGCTATTCCCATCATGCTCTGCTCAAACAGAGGGCCACCATCTGGAGGGGCTTCGATGAATGGCAGTGAGGGTTTCGCCTCCTTAAAAACTTCTCCTAGTTTAAGCTCCTCCACAGCTGTTTCGTTAGAGCTTGTTCTCTATATTCAGCTAGTTATGAATAACCGAGAATGAATAATTAAATTCAAGCAAAGATTTATTCATGTGTAGGCCTATGTATGAATGGAATAGAATAATATGTGTGGGTGTAGCCTATTCTGTATGTCTGAAAGACACCAAGCATATGAAACATCTTAATCAATGGTGTGATGACCTCAGCAGAAACGCAGCAACTTTTTCAAATGTCAAACGTAAACCAGGTTTTATTCTTGGAGAATATTGCATTATTTTTCGTCATACTTTAGTTGATCTTAATTTTTTTTGTTTTTTTTTTTGTTGGTGCTATTATTTATCCTCTTTGAACATGTTTCAAGGGCAGGCAGTCATGGAGGCAAGCCAACAGTGTCATGCTGTACTGCAGCTAATGACATCCACCTTTTATTTGATTAGCACAGTTTATAATGCTGCAGAATTAAACCAGCAGCTAGAGTCAAACTCTCCGTTCCAAAACCTAGTAGTCAGCAACCTAATCACTTAAAAACTGAATTAGATGATATAGACACTGACTACAATGCTTGTCTGATTCACCTAGCATGTGAACAAATGTTGTGGTAATTGTAGTCATTTTTATTAGCATGGGTTTCCCCCATGCTGCCTTCCCGCAGCATGATTTTATTCACGCTGAAAGGTATGGAACGCGAACGGGGCCATTAAACGGGGCCTTTACAGTTGGTAAACACGGTGACGTTTTTATGTGGGCGGAGCTTCACTAACGTTAGTTAGCAAGGATTGTTAGCTTGTTTTTTAACAATGACTGGAGAAAATTCAATATTATCTTAATGTGTAAGGTCACTCAGTGTCCACGACCGCGATTGTTATTTCCAAAAGTTATTTTTAACGGACGGAACCAAATTGGCCGACCTGTAGCCGCCTACACGCTCACTCAATGCATGGATGATCTGACAGGATTAACATGCGTTACCTTGGTTGAGTGGCCTGACTTCTACACCTACTTTATAGAGAAACTGATCGTAAATAGAAACTGAGAAACTAAAAAGAAACTAAATAGAAATATAAATTTTTAGATGCCTATATGATCCTGTACAAGACTTGTGTGTACGATCCGCAGTTCTGCCGAGCCAGCGCCGAGACCACGATAATGTAAAGAGTGACATTACAGTGCGATTTTAATGATGTGAATATTTTCTAGAAATAAAAGTTCCAGATACAGCATATTCATTTTTCATCAATTCTTGCACCAAACAACACAACAAGATGACATTTAATAATAGTAACAATTATTTAAGCTCCTTATTATGTAGCCGAATCTGTGCTGTTTTGTATTGGCCGCCTCCAGTTTTCACTTTGTTTTGCCTCCAGCTAGCGCCGTGACGTAACTGTGACATATGCGCAAAAGGGGTCTATAGTCTTTAAATGAAACTTGTGAAATTTGACCACGTTAACACACACTGTTTGTCCGTGTTAACATGGCAAATTTTTACGTGTTTCTTTTGTACGCTAATTCTGGTCGTGTTAAGACAGTCTGGATACCATGGCCAGATTTTCGCCTCATTTAGGTAACCAATCACAGAACGGGGAGGGAGCAGCAAGAAGATGACAACATTTATGCGTCAAACCGAAGCAGTTTGTTTATATCTATGGATTCAACATGGCAGCAGACGCAAAGCTACCTTTTGATACAGCCTTAGATATTGTTCTAAGTCAGTGATCTCAAACTCAATTCCTGGAGGGCCACAGCTCTGCACAGTTTAGCTCCAACCAGCTCCAACTCACACCTGTAAGGAAGTTTCTAGTAATCCCGAAGACATTGATTAGCTCAATGGATCTGGATCAGGTGTGTTTGATTAGTGTTGGAGCAAAACTGTGCAGAGCTGTGGCCGCTCAGCTGTGTAAATACATAAAGAATTGTTGATACCAGCTTCTGTTCGGCGGTCCCGAGGCCTGAATGAGCCCAAAGTGGCAAGACATGTTAGCCACGGAGTTGTAGTACCAACCTGTTAGGCGTGGTCGTCGATGAAGTCCATTTAACTTATAAACTTATAAATGGTAAGTGGTATTAATATCATATTGTCATTATGCCTGTAGACTAGGCTACCTACTGTGGTTGTCAAAGTGCCACTAATTGTGTTGCTTGCTTTTTCAATATTAATATACAGCTACCGCTTTAGTACTTTCAGCTAGGTACCCGATTAAAGTTGTTGACACATTAGTCATTAAATTAAATTTGTAATTTTTTTAAACTTATGAAGTACAAGCGCAAACAATTTCCAATGCAAATAACAACTTCAACATCTATGTTAAACTGTAATCGAAACGATTGGCTATGAGCTACGTACAGGCGCATTTGAGATTCTTAGCACCCAATAAACCAATAAACCCAATAAATTAAACAACTGAAAACCCAGAGGATCCAGACTTGGACAAGCAAATTGTATTCCTGGTTTTAGGAAAACAAACTGAACAGTTGCAGTGGCTAATGTTAGCATGTTGCTAAGCTAACAACAACAACACTCTAGTTAGCACAAAAAATACAAAGTACACATGATGAGTGAAACAGACCACTTTGTGATTAGATACAGATATTAT